CTCAAGATAATATCTGGAGGTGGGCCAGAAGTAGGCAGCCTTTGGCAGGACTGGTATGGGAGGCTTAATCTACAAAGTCAACAAAGATCCAGACCCCTGGCCTGCTTGCTACTCCACCACCATTAGAAGTACCATCTTGGGATCCCAAACCATGGATTTAAACACATTTTTATTTTAAATTAATTTTTAAAAATTTATTGATTTTAGAGGCAGTGAGAGAAACATTGATTTGTTGTTCCACTTATTTATGCATTCATTGGTTGATTCATGAATGTGCCCTGACCTGGGATCAAACCCACAAACCTTAGAGTATCAAGACAATGCTCCAACCAACTGAGCTACCCAGCAAGGGCCTTAAATTTTTTAATCAAATGAGAATACTATATACAACTTTATATTAATAAATGTCAAATTGTAGATGAAAGGGATGATTTCCTAAGAAAAAAAGTATCAACATTTAGTCAAACAAAAGAAAAAAAAGAAGAGCAACCATTTAGTCAAGAAGACATAAAAATTCTGAATACTCAATGTCTCACAGGAGAAATTATTTTAAAAAATATTTTTTTCTATTTTTAAAATAGTTTATCGACTTTTAGAGGAGAGAGGAAGGGAGAGGGAGAGAATCAATGTGAGGGCAAAACATCAGTCAGCTGCCTCCTGCAGGCCGCCCACTAAGGATCAAGCCTGCAACCCAGGCATGTGCCCTGACCAGGAATCAAACCCTGCAACCTTTCAATGCACGGGACGATACCCAACCGAGCCATACTGGCCAGGGCTATTTCTCTTTTTAATGAAAGAACTCTTAGTAGGTAGTAGTTCTAGATAGGGTATACATTCTGGTTGTAACAGTGGCTTAAACACGGTATCTCTTTCTCACATCACCTTCCTGGGTATAAATCCAGGGCTGGTTTGGTGGCTCCACAGTCATTAGAAGTCCAGGCACCTTCCATCTTATTGCTTCGACACCTCTGGGTGTTACTCTCATTTGCATGGTCCATGCCACTGTGTCCAAATTACTGCTAGCAGTTGGGGAAGAGAGACTAGGAGGACATGACCCACCCCTTTCCAGTAAGATACATAAATCACATCTGCTCACATCTCATTGGCTTCACTTTAATTACATGGCCATACTTACCTACAGGAGAGGCTGGGAAAATATATTTTTTATTTTGAATGGCCATGTGCCCATTTGAAAAATTCTTACTATAGAACAGGGAAACATATTGGGGAACAACTAGTAGTCTTTCTGCTACAAATGAGAATAGATGCTGCATAATATGAGCATGGCTATAAGACACAAACAACAGGCAATTGTAAATCATTGAAAGTATTTTCATTAACCAAGACACTGATATCTGCTGCCCTAACATTGTTTAGAGTGTTCTGGACAATACTATAATACTATGAAAATAATGCATATAAATTCTGGAAATGAATATAATGTTTTTGGAAAAATTTTTTTTCATTATAGATTATATTGTCTAGCCAAGAAAATAAACTAGAACAGTCAGAAGGAAAAGAAAGTGCAATTAGGTTGTCAATTTCAGCATACCTGTATGAAAACAATTTAGCATCTACCAGCAATGCCCAATAGAATATATGGTAGATGTACCAGTTATTAATTTGTGTGTCAGCCCCCAATACAATCTTTTTGTCCTTTGTGGTACTGAAGCCCTTCGGGTCCTGTAGACATTTCTCCTTTGCTAGCCAGTTGATGTTAGTTTTTGCCAATAGAGGGCGCTGGAAGAACACTATAAGACCATACCTTGAAAAAGGGACTTCCAAGTTTCTTCTTCCCCCTGTGGTTTTCCATTGAGGCCAGTACAGGGAGGGGAGCCCAGTAGCATCCACTTTAGCAGTCCTCCAGCAAGTTCCTCAAGCAAATGCAGCACGATGTATGTAGAAATACAGAAAAATGGGAACTAAATGTCCAAGAGTAAGGGGCTTTAAATAAAACATGGGACTTTCATGCTATGAAAAATATGCAGCTCACAAAACAGATGAATTCTTTTACTTATAAATGCTGATATGGAAAAATACCCGAGTCAACAAAACATTACTTGGGGGGAGGGGGACAGGGGGAGTTGGAAGAGGGTATGGGGGGATAAATGGTGATGGAAGGAGACTTGACTTGGGGTGGTGAACACACAATACAGTGTACAGATTATTATGTGTTGTGGAGTCGTGCACCTGAAACCTGTAAAATTTTGTTAACCAGTGCACCCCAATATATTCAATAAAAAGGAAAAAACAAAAAACGACAAAAAAGTTACCTATATAGAATGATTCCAGATTTATCCTCACTGGAGGACATTTTTTCCATTGCCTTTCAGAGAGAGAGGAAGGGGAGGGAGGGAAGGAAGGGGAGAGAAGAGAAAGAAACATAGAGAAATATAAATGTGAGAGAAACATCCATCTGTTGCCTCCCGTATGTACCCGGAGTGGATCAAACCCAAAACCTAGGTATGTGCCCTGACCGGAAACCAACGTGCAACCTTTTTGGTGCACAGGACTTTCCAACCAACTGAGCCACCTTGCCTGGGCGAATGATTCCAGATTTATATTAGAAATATTCATAGATGTAGAACTGTAAGAACAGGCTAAAATATTAATAGTGCTTATTTCTAAATGGCCTTATTAGGAATATTTTAAACCTTAAGTTATTCGACAAATATTGTTTCAGAAACAAGTCTAGATGCTGGGAGTAGGGCAATGAAAACAGTGTGACCTCATGGAGCTCATGGTCTAGTAGGAGACTAATATCACACAAATATGTCAGATAAAAGGAAGAAAGATAAGGCCGGGCAGAGCCACGGCGTGCACGTGTGTGTGTGTGTGTGTGTGTGTGTGCTGTTTACAGGGTTAGGGAAAGCCATTCGAAGGAGTGACATTTGAGCGAAGTGAGGCCGCTAGCTAGCCTTGCGGATCTCTATGCCTTTATAATTTTCCATATTTTCTTAATTTTCTTTTCCACACTAAGCACGCAATGCTGCATAATCAAAACAAGAGAGCTTTTTCTATTTCAGAAAAAGATCTGGAGCCTCAGATCTCCAGGTCGAGGAATAAGTAGAGATTTGGAACAGGCCCAAATCTGTGGAAAGAACCCAGAAGTTCCCGGGTACAGCCTGCCTGCTCTAGAGTCGCCCTGGCCCCGGGATCCCCGCCGCTCCAAAGAGGAAGCTGCAGGTGGGAGAGCGAGGGGCTCCTTGGGGTCAGAGTCCCCGCCAGCCGAGTCCTGCTGAGCGATCTCAGCCGACGACGCTCCAGGTCGGAGAATGGCCGCGGGAGGCTCGGCGCCCCTCACGGGACTGCATTTTCCAGGAAGCTCCGCGCTCCTCAAGTCAGAGGAGCAGAGAAATCTGGAGGATTAGCGGGGGAAGAGGACAGCGCGAGTCTAGACGCAGACCAGAACCCGCGGGCAAGGGTGTTGATGCGCAAGGCACTTCTCCTGGTTCATGGGCCACCGGTCAAGACTGAAACAAGCTTAATGAGCAACTGCCTCCCCCGCGAACACAGTCCGAGGACTTAGAGCAGCGCGTGCGCAACGTCGTTTCCCAGTGACCTCCGCGCGGACTTCCGGTGCTGGAATCTGGCGGCGGAACCCGGGACGCCTGGGCGGCTGTAGGAGGTGTGGCCCGGGGGCGGGACCCGGGGTCGGCGACCCGCGACCCGGCAGCGGAGTGGAGA